TCGAGCCTACACAGCTTGGAGTAAGACAACATGCATGAAGAGGATGATGTGGACAAAATACTCATTTGCCTAATAATTCTGCACTCCCTGTATTTATGACGTCTCAGTAATTTCCACACTTTGCAGAACTGACCACTGGGCCATTCCTGCCTTAGAGGATTAACACTCATACATAAGCATCATTGTCCAATTGTCCAAAGACTCGCCTGTAGGTTAAGTGGTGATTCTGAGCTGCCTGTGGATGCCGGGTTGTAACGCACTGTATGAATACTTGGATAAAAGGTGCTATAAAATGCCAGTCCGTTTCCACTTTCGATTTCACCATGTGCTTAAAATGCAGTGCAGAAATGTATTTAGATTAGTTTATTTATCATATTTGTAAATGATTTATTTTCCTGATCAGTGACTTCTCTGCACTCCAGCTCTCTCTCCTCATGAAAAGCTAAGCGTGGGTGATGGGATTGATCACCTGTTACAGCACTGACAGCAGGCTGTGTCCCACGGCCATAGCATGGCCCGAGGGCTGCGTGTCCCACATATTACACAACATTACGGCCCAGTGCTGAGAGAAAGGATCCTTCATATTCATTCAAGCGCGCTGCAGAAAATAGGTTTTTAGAACATGTGACGTCATGTGCGTCGATCAGGTTTGATTTTTTTCCGAAGATCGTGTGTTGAGAAGATGGATTTTCACGTGTGATTCAAAGGTTAGTGTTGATACAGCAGAAGCAAAGGCGTAGATCATGTTAGGCATGTGCTTAGCGAGTTTCCTCCACATGTTTTAAACATTCTGCAGTTTCAAAATGCAACACATCTGTGTTTTCAGCTATTTTATTTTTAATAATAGGCTACTGTATTCATCTTAACTGAGATCTAAAGCGGAAAATTTGAAGGAAATGTAAGATTTTTTAGGCTAATTTCAGCCATTATATCAACAACTTCTACATTTGGAATATAAACAGTTTGTCAGACTTTCTGGGAAATAAAAATGTCCCGAAATCAGACTCTTTCCAACCTGCCTGTCTGCAGTGCACATACCGGAGGAGAAGATGCACACCGCTATATTTAAAAAAACAAACAAACAAAAACAACAACAAAAAACATATTTTGGAAGTAAAAAAAAAGATCAGTTGCTGAGCAAAGTGGCACTACCTGATTTTGTTATAGTATTTTTTCTTAATATGTCAAAATATGTGTAGTTATTACAGAAGAAGTGTCAATTAACCTGTAGAGCTGAAGTCAGAAACACTGCAGGCCTGGTGGCCAGAATCAGCCCGTCAAAGACCCCAGTCTGGCCCACTGGACAGCTTCAGAAAATGTGAGCTTTTAACTGTTTTACAGCTTTTCCCATTGATAAACACCTCTCCCATTCCAGTTTATATCACACAAAAATAATTAACTAAGAGATAAATGACAGAAAAATTCCTGTTTTTCTGTTTTTAGCTATACTTTTATTTTTCTTGTACAGCGAGTCCCCAGTTATAAGAAAAACATTTTAAAAATGACATTTTCTGTGAATTAATGAAAACATTATATTTATGATTACAGGATAGTCTGGCCAATGAATTGTCCCACATAGGATCAAAGTCAGCTGTATGTGGCCTACGATGTAAAATAAATTTCACATCCCTCCTCTAACACTCGTGACTGGCTCAAAAAGTGAGTCTGTCCCCCCCAAAACGTCCATGTAACACAAGCAGTACATTTAAAAAAGCATGTTTACAGTATGGCATGACCGTTTTTGCACTGTTGTCACCCTTTAGAGCACAGGTATCGAAATCCAGGCCTCAGGGGCCGCTGTCTCGCTTGTTTTCTAACTAACCTGCCTTTGTAGCTTTTTGGCAAAGCACACCTGATCCAGGTAATCAGCAGAAGGTATGGCAGGGATAACTCAAAAACAAGGAGGATGCTGGCCCTCGAGGACTGGAGTTTGACACCCCCGTTTTAGAGCATCGATGTTTGTGCTTCAGTGTTGGTGAGTGAAAGTATAGTAATTAGAAGATAAGTGTGTATTTGTGATACATACATAGTCTTTGGAAACATTTTTGCTGTTTAGCTGATAACTTAGAAATTTATGGAATGTCGTCAGTTCTGTCAGGCAAAAACAGAAACAAAGTGGCAGCTCAAGTTTGCTGTTATGTTTCATAGGTCAATAATTGACATGTACTCCACGAAAAACTATTCACAAGTGGGTCTGTGACTCTAAAACAGTCACATAACATGGAAAGTACAGTACATTTTCCTGGCTAAATGGGTGCATAGTGGGACATCTTTTTCTTCTTCATTTTCCTGTGATATATATATATATATATAGCAACTGTGCTGCATTTACTGAATTAAAAAAAAGCCGAAACAAACAAAAAGCAGTACTTTGAGATTATTTTGAAAAGCCCGACAGGAACCATCGACGCTTATTCCGGCGAACACAACCAGGCTCACCTGCTGCAGCAGAGCTGGAGGACAGCGAGTGGGTGAGCGTCTCTGAGGTACCTGCGGAGGACCAGCGTGACCGAAGGGCTCATCTCTCAGTATCACACACGTTTCCACGATGAATGGTCTGAGTGTCGCCACAGCGGTCCAACACTTCTGGAGGAGACGGTGTCTGGAGTCGTGCGCTAGCACGGCTTTTTAAAGCCTACCAGCCACCATATTTTCAGGGGCGACGGACCCCATCAGGAAGCACCGACACTTCCAGCTCACCTTGCCCGGCGATGGAGGTCCGCCGTTAGAGGCTTGGGAGCTAGGGAGGGTCGAGGGGGAGGGGGGGGTCGGCCGCAGTTTCGGCAAAATTACGACGGGAATCAGGTACAGCTCCCTGTCTCCCGGCAACGGGAGAGACCAGCGGGCGCTCGTGATGTCTCGTGCCAAGGAGCGACTGAAAGGCGGGAAGGAGACCAAGGACAGCGTCACCCTGCTGCCCTGCTTCTATTTCGTAGAGGTGAACATCTGTCCGTCTATTACGATGTAAATGCTCTCAGCGATGGGTCTGTGCTGCTCTGGTGGGGACGGTGGAGGGAGGGAGGGGGCAGCTGGTGCAGGTGCTCCTCGCAGATGCTCGTCACTGTCCTGGGAGCCAAACACACTCACAGAGAAATCACCTGTTAAATTGTTGTGGATACACACTGAGGATGCTTTTTGCTCTAGGTTGGCCAGGCAGGCTGTAATGGTATGGCAGTGATGTTTACCTGATGTTTCAGAGGCCAGTGACTCTGCATCCTGTTACGATTCCCTTTGCATACAGCAGATTTGTTGGGGACAAAGATTTGAGATCAAACATCGTCAGTGTGCAGATATCGTTCATGGCTCACAGTCGATCAGAGCCAGCAGACAGAAAGGAGTGAGGAGAGTCCAGATTTAACGCTGCACTACTGCAGCTTACTTTCATTGTGTTTTGAATAATCAGGATTAGCACATTAGCAGCCACAGGTTCGGGCTTTAGTCTGTTCCCGACAGATCAGTGCGAGGCTTGGACTTGCACAGTCATTTCTCTCCTCTTCTGGGCTAAATCCTACTGCCATCATGCTGCATTTCGTTTATACGCCCACAGACTGTGAAGCAGCCTTCTTCCCATAGGCTCCACAATCTGCAGCGTTCTTCTAGCAGCATTAAAAAGAAGACATCTCTGTTTTTAATAATAATAGCAGTAATATTGGTTTTGATCTGTATTTCTAGTACTGACTGCAGAACATGATAATAATATTTCATCTGTTGCTTTATACTGTCAGGTTAGTGCGTGCAAAGATGATTTGTTAGTCTAACTTTACACCGAATTAAACATCAGCCTAACTTCTGCCTGCTTGTCACCATATCTAAGGTGTTTACGTCTTAAATCTGCGCCAGCAGTGCTTTTGTTCCCCAATCACAATTGTGCTGCACCAGGAAAATGACATTTTCCTCAAGATTTGGACGACAATGTGAACATGTTGGGCGTAGACTGGGCTGTGTTGCTGCTCAGACTCTACGTACACACCAGCAATGGAGTTTAGTAGGAAGTAAAGATTTTACTTTACTTAGACATGCAACCTACTGAGACTGTAAACACCTAAGAAACCATCTGACTGTACACAATAAGATGCTTTCCATGATGAATCAGCATCTGATGGGCTGAGATGCAGTCCAAACCCTGACAGAGCCTGTACTGTGTTCTAAGGATGCTGTTGACACTGACTGTTGTGCCTTGCTCCTGACGTCCTCTGCACATACTGATGGTTTGACCCAACGTTTAGCATTCCTCTCTCTGTAAGTTCCCTCCCTGCTGATTGTCAGGCCAGTTCTCGTGTCTTTTCTCTCCGTTTCTCTTTGTAAAGGCTGGCTTGTTCCAGGTGCATCTCTCAGGTCAAGATGTAGGTCTTTGCTGGATTTTTCCCTCATTTCTTAATGTTGTGAATTTTGGATACCGTTCATCTCCTGTCGACAGATTGCCACTTGTGCTTTTTTCCTTCACCTTTTTAAGGACACTGTGCACACCATATGGCAATATGTCAAGTTTTCAGACATCAGGGAAGGTTAAACACCGAGCAGAACCAGCATGCTGTTGGTGCAGAAATATTCCACCAGCAATGTCGGTCAAATTGTGTTTTCTCGTGTGTTTTTGAGACATGCCTGCAAATAACAGACAACCAAATATAAATGATCTTTGTTATTTGCAGGCACAACACTGGTTCATCCTGTGAATTTGGTGCATGGTGTTTATGCATGAATAATAGTTATGTCAGTTACATGACTTAACAAACAAAAATCATTGCTCTGAAAATGTTCAGGTACAAGGACTGGACTGAAAATGAACGACAAAGTGACAAATGTCCCAAGAGAATTTTTGACAAACCTTCTGCAAACTGCTGCTGAAGATCGCTGATGTATTTGACCACACAGCGTCATATATGAGTAGAATTATTTCTTAAAATCTGCAGTAGCCAAACATAAAGAACCTGAAATAAATAAAAGCACAGAAAAGGCCAAACATACTTCATCGTGTCAGCTGATTTCCTGTTTTCACATTTCTTCTCACCGCTGCTAATTTCACCAATTTGTTGCTAGATTTAGACATTTTTCAAGTTCCCTTTAGCAGAAATCTGGTGACAGGATCCTACTGCTTCACAACGATGATGAATGTGAAAAACAAGGTTTCAGACAGTGACAGAGAGCAGCAGTGTGAAAGGAGACAGTAAGAGCTTTTCTGCTGCTTGTGAATTTCTATCTGAGTGATCTACTTTTAACTAGCTGAAATGTCAACGTTGTCTTGAACTCACGTTAATGGTGATTTTGCTGTGTTTATCAAATTAGACGTGTCACTGTTCGCCACCCCAACCCTCCACTTGCTGGGGGAAGCTTTGATTATTTGTTGCTGATTACTCCGAAACCCCCAAAGGTCAAAAAATCAGTCTTCAGGACAACCCAGGAGTGTACACGCTGTCCTGTTGTGTACTGTGCACAGGCGTTTGCCACTGGAAGTAAAATCTCAGTTTGTTTTTTCTAATTACTGACTGATTAATTAATGACAAGTAGACAAAGAGCCAAGAAAAGAACATGTGTGAGTCTGTAAAAGCATTTCTGTGAGTTTGATTAATGATGCTGTTCAGAAAACCTCTGACTCTGCCATCACCTCCTGTAGGCCACTTGTTCTTGTACCACAGGTTGTAACATGACGTGGCACAGAGTAAGACCTTCTGGCAGTACCAGCGGCATGTGGAGTATATGCATGTGCACGTATGTGTGCAAGCATTAGCAGACAACCCTATTTCCTCCTTAAATGTTAACGTCTGGCTCCGAACACACCAAAACAACCACATGGCAGGCACCAATGTGTCGTCCAAACCAGTGGGGCATGTTCCTTAGAGTGTGTGGCAGAAACAGGAGTCCAGAGAAAGGATGGGAGGTAAAACCACGCCTGGCTGCTTGGTCAAGTGTCTGACAGCACAGCGAGTCTTTGAACGCTCTAATTTTCTCTTCATGGTCCCTTCACTTACTGTCATGTTTGAAGTTGGACGTTGGATACGTGGATATTTCTGGCCCTGAGACATAATCGTTCCAGTGGTCAGGCCCAGCTAAATCTAAAGTAGAGCTGGGCGATAGAACGATAACGATATGTATGTAACTTTTTCTCGATAGAAAAATTAAGCTATCGCGATAGACCTCGCCGCTCTTGTCCTCTTTAAAAAAAAGAAAAGAAAAAAGAACAGCCAATCCAAATTAAGTAGCGCAGAGCCGAACCAATCACAGCTGCAGTGTCACGTCACGTGACTTGTTACGTACAGCACAAGTGCCAAGCCGTACATGTTTGGGAAGCAGCCAGCCACCGTACCGCCCGGGTAATGGAGGAAATGAGTGTGCCGACTAGAAAAATCAACCGAGCGTGACCGAAGAGAAAACAGATGATGGTTCCAACGCCGGAGAGATTGTCGAACGGAAGAGCCATAGAAGTTCCGTAGTGTGAAGGTATTTCGGCTATTTCAAGTCTGACAAAAAACAGAGTAGCGTGCACTATAAATTGTGCCGAAAGCAAGTCTGGAAATACAATAAACTGGTGCATGCTCAGGCTACGTCCACACGTACCCGGGTATTTTTGAAAACACAGATTTTTCTATGCGTTTGCACCTTTCGTCCACACATAAACGGTGTTTTTGGTCACTGAAAACGAAGATTTTTAAAAACTCCGGCCAGGGTGGATATTTTTGAAAACTCAGTTTTTGCATTTACGTGTGGACTAGAAAAACGGAGAAAACGCAGCGTCAAAGGTGTGCGCATTTTTTGACGTCACACTGTGCGCCACGTTATTGTTTCGGTGAAATGAATTTCTACAATACTGTTACTGTTACTTGT